CTGCGGTCCGGAGAATCAGAACAGAGTATACGGTCGCCAGCCCTGAGAAATTTTCTCACTAAAAACAATCTGACGCGCTTGAAGCTATGATGATGTGCTGAAGGCAATGGCTTGGGCGGTTACCAACTGCCGGACAGCGCGATCAGCTCAGTGCGTGTTTTTGTGTGGAATGGATGACTGGCGGACTGAGAGTCAGACTGAAAAGGCGCCTTCTTAATGCGGCATCTGGGAGACCCGCAATCAGCTGGGCTCCGAACCAGGTATGGCGGCACGCCTAGGAACGACTCCGGCCGCGCCATCCGCCTGGGCCCTCTTCCGCCTCCAGTATTCTTGGCTTGATCACAAGATCGGACGCCGTTGAGGAGGAGGGGGTGTGGGACTAGAGAGCATGCGATGGATGCAGCGCAAGTTTACTCTCACTATAATTTAATTTTCGTGCAAGTCATCGCTTGCTGTGGGGCATATGGTCGTCCTCCTCGAAACCAACGGTCGACCTTTCGTTTGACACGAAGCTCGTCTACTGAGTGGCAAGCACACGTTGGTCCGATATCATATCGCTTGGCGCCCTTAAGACTAGTTTTCGCCGATGCGTTTCCATCTTAACTATGGTTGCTACTGATGGCATATCACGCTATTAATACTTCGGAGGCTCAGTAAATAGTACAGGACTGATGCCATGAAAGCCTTCTCCGGTCTAATCCGAATTTTACGCATTCTAACTCTCCCAAACCTAGACATTGTGGTCAGAATGGACCTTAGGAATGAATGGCCAAACTAGAATGTTGCCTTCTCGATATTCCTTTGGTTCAAATTTAACGATAGTTTAATACATTTTGGTGATATTGGTACTCTTTTATGGCACAGAGTACAAAAATAGAAGGTTTGATTCTGTCCTACCGAAGAGGATAGGAGTTTTCTTGGATATCCATAAAAATGCGATTTTGCAAAAATGCTGCCTGTTTTCCTGAAAGAAAATGAGATGTACCTGCTGTTTTCTTTACTAGAAGGCTTCGTGATAATAAAATCCAATCAAAAAATTAAATTTGCAAAACTCTATCAGTTCCTATTTTGATCATCAATCTGTATGAATATGATCACACCTATTCTGTATCGGTCAGTTTCGTTCTCCCAACCTTTAGAACCGCCTTTATCGCCGTTCGCGTGTTACACGAATCCTCGCCTCTCATCTCCTGCGTAGGGCCACGCATGCGGTCCTTGTGTCATGTTCTTAACCATTGCTTCTTTTAGTCTTTTCATCCTGTCCAGCAAATTTTACTTTTTCCTTTTCTTCTTCACAGCCCGTCTTTCGGTCAAGCATACTGGGGTCGGTCTGCAAATTATTCACCAACGATGAGCCCTGTTTGGCCGACACCACGCTCTACCCGCATGACCTTGTCACTCTGGTTAGCGACGTTTTCCAGCACCCCAGTGAGGGTGGGCTGGCAGCCAGAAACCTGCTACTGCATGGTTTCCGTGCAGCCCGCTTTGCGGGACTTCCCGATCTCACCTTCTTCCGTGCAGATCCCTTTCTTCCTCCGACGCCGCCGCCTTCTCCCAGCATGCCGGGTCACCGCG